CCTTCCTCCTTCGAGCCCATCCAGCCAAACCTTCCACCATCTTCCTGTCCAGAGGTCTGTGGAGCACTTGCTCTGTGCCAGGGGTTCCAGAAAGGGATACAAAGGTTCTGTCCTCAAGCTCCTTACAGTCCAGAGACAGGCGTTTATGCCACACAGAGATACAGCAAGAAGTCTGCAGAACTCAGAGGAGGGAGCAAATTCTTCCAATGGAATCGGGGGAGAATCTGAAGCAGGTGGTGTTCGGTGAGGTTCAGGTCAGAGGCAGATGTAGGGGGCAGGCCAGGTGGAGGGAAGTCCAGGAGGAAAAGTGCAGGGCTGGAGACAGCAGAAATGGCCACAGAACCCTTAAATGCTGGTCCCCTCTGATGGTCCCTGCCAATCGGGGATAGTAGACTCTAACGTACTCCCTGTACCACCAGCCCTGCAGCCAGAAGCACCCTCAGTGTGTGGCACCTTCCATTCATTCATTCGTGCATCCCTTCCCTTATGGGTGAAGCCAGGCCTGAGTGCCATGTGACGGGTACCATTTAGGTGCATGGAGGAGAGAATTTGACGAAATGGGCATTCCTCATGGGGGCGTGAAGTGGGGAGACATATGGAAAGCACATGCTGTACAATCCATGGAAACACTGGAGCACCTTTCGACTGTGACTCAGAGAGGGGCTGCTGTACACGCAGGGAGGGCAGCCTCCTGAGGGGCACACAGCAACCTGAGACCTGAATGGCAGGTAGGAGCCAGTCAAGCCCAGCTCTGGGTGAATAGCAGTCTGGGCAGAACATGCAGCAAGTACCAAGGGCTGAGGACAGGAGCGAGCTTGGCAAGGTGGCCTGAAGTGAGAGAATCAGAGTGTTTAGGACAAGGTTAGAGATGGAGGGAGAGGTCAGCCAATGCCCTGGAAGGACAGGGGAAGGAGCGGGGATCTTAGGCTATGGACCATGAATGGTAAATGATTGGCTCCAGGGTCAAACGGCTAGTAAGTTAAGAGTCAAAAACGTAGTTGGGTGTGGTGGTGCACACAAGTTTGAAGCCAACCTGAGCAACTCAGCAAGACCCTGTCTCAAAATAAAAAAAGAAAATGGGCTGCAGATGCAGCACAGTGGTAGAGGGACATCCCTGGTAGAGCAAAATTAAACAAATAAAAATTAAAAATAACACTCCTAAATAAATTGTGTTGCTTATTTAGTTACCTAATTTGTGTTGCCTCTGCCCATCCTTATTCCCAGTAAGTTAACTATTCCTCCTAGTTTCTCATCTGGCCCTTCTCCCCTCCCCTCCTTGTTCCTCAAGAGCAGCAGAAGGGACCTCTTGATTCTAGGTGGCTCCTGTCTTCCCCTCAGAGTCGTTTTTCAATCTGAAGACCTTGGGGATGTGGCAGGAGCAGGATCCTCCCAGAGCCCCCAGCAGAGGGCAGGGGGCACCCCGGGGCAGCCCTGTTTCCTAACGCCACCCTCCTGCCCCCAGAAATCCGGCCTGTCTGTGTGGCTGGGAGACATACTGGCCCCGCTGCAGAGTGTACCACTGCCCGCTACCGCCTTCCTCCTGTGTCTCCTGGTTGCCACCTTCACTGAGTGCGCCAGCAACGTGGCCACCACCACACTCTTCCTGCCCATCCTGGCCTCCATGGTGAGCTGGACCCCTCCCCCAGGCACCCCTCCTGGCTGCCCCACCAGGGGCTCTGCCTGCTGGGCACAGTGACCTGCCTTCAGCCTCCTCTTCTTTCCTGCAGAGGACCCCTGAGCTTTCACCCTTCTCCAGGTTCTTGGGCTCTCGGGCCACAAGGCCCTCTGGCCCCTGACTCACCCCCTCCCTGGTGACATCACCCCTTGAATATCCTGATGGGGCTCAGAGGTGGCCTCGCCCACCTCCCTGCCCCAGCCCCTGTTCTGGTCATTCCAGAGGTGACGGGTAAAATTGCTCCCTGGAGCGTCCCCAGCCCCTTCCTCTCCAGGCGCGTTCCCACAGCCTTTGATGACACCTCCCGAGCCCCTTTGAGATCTGTTTTATGGGCCCCTCCCCTCACTACGCCCCACAGCACACTCATCCCCTCCAGGGAGGTCAAGGGGCCTTTCCCAGGTCACCCAGGGTTTTCTGGCAGAAGTGGTGGGTTATGACCAGAGAGTGTGCAGGGGGTTGGGGTTGTCCCCCAGGCCGGGGAAGCAGGAGTATTGGGGCCACAACCTTCCTTCCGGGATGGGGACCAAGCTCAGCTCTGCCCCACGGTCCCCTCTCCAGGCTCAGGCCATCTGCCTCCACCCGCTCTATGTCATGCTCCCCTGCACTCTGGCGGCCTCCCTGGCCTTCATGCTGCCCGTGGCCACCCCACCCAACGCCATCGTCTTCTCTTTCGGGGGCCTCAAAGTGTCAGATATGGTGAGTGGCAAGCAAGGCTGGAGGTCTCAGCACTCCTTCCGGTTCCAACTTCTTGGGCCGCCAAGAATGCTGAAAGGCACTGAGAGTCTCCAAGCTGAGAGTGGGACCCTCGGGGGTGAGGGGACAGCAGGGGAGACTGGGGACAGGACTAGTTGGCACATCTTCAAGCACTTTCAGCCCTGGGCCATGAGAGAGGGAAGGAAATGGGGGACATGCGGAAGATCCAGAGGGCCTGGTGTACCCATACTAGGGAGATGAACTCATAGAAAACAAGGCCCAGGTTTGCAGCTCATGAGGAGCCCCCTTTTCCCGGTTAGCCCTGGGAGTCAAGAAAATAGCAAGAAAGTTGCTGAGCCCTGTGGGCTAGATCACAAGAAGGAGTTCCCAGAGTTTTGCTAATGGAAGGGCTCGGAGCACCCCTGGACACTTGAGAGGTTACTTAATGGTGCTGCTCAGTATCTGCTTAGTTGAACTGACTCTCCTCCCACCAGGCCCAGGTGGGATTCCTGCTCAACATCATCGGAGTGCTGGTCATCACGCTAGCCATCAACAGCTGGGCCATCCCCATCTTTGACCTGCACACTTTCCCTTTCTGGGCCCACTCCAATACCATGACCCAATGCCTTCTCATCACCACCACGTCAGGCCCCTAGATCATCCTGGCTGCTGTGTGGAAAGGGGGTTGGCAAGGGTGAGACTGGAGGTAAAGGGACCTAATAGAAGCCTATGACATGGGACAGGATATGTCAGGGGTGTCAGCAATGACAGAGAGAAGCACTCAAGAAATGTTTAGGAATGGAGTTTGCAACTCGGTACTTGGGAGGAGAAAGAAGAGCTGAGGGAGACCTCTGGCCATGAACATAGGCGGCCCAGTGGATGTGGTAAACTGGGTGAAAGGGCAAAGTGGGTGAGAGGAAGAAAGTGAATGCTTTGGGTCATGTTGAGTTGGAGGTACTTGAGAGATGCCCGGCTGGCAAGCTTCAGTGGGCAGTTTAGCCACCTGGGTTCTGGAATCTTGAACCGAGATGGTGACTGGAAACAGAGGCTTGGGGTAGGACATCAGTGTGTCAGCCAAATAACTCTCACCAGCTAGATGTGGAGGCACACATCTGTAATCCCAGCTTCTCTGGAGGATGAGGCAGGAGAATGGCAAATTCAAGGTGAGCCTAGACAACTTAGTAAGATCCTGTTCAAAATGAAATAAACAGCTCGGGATAGAGTGTTTGCCTAGTATGTGCAAGGCCCTGGGCTTAATCCCCAGTACCCAAGAGCAAAAATAAAAACCTCTCACTTTAGTCCCAAAAGGTCCCTACCTCCAAGGTCTAAACCATGGCTTTTGCTTACTGCTTTAACTTTGTATGTGAACTTGGGCACCTTCTCTCCCTTTCTGGGGTTAATTTTTATCCTTTGGAAAATTGAAGGGATTGGACCACAGACTGCAGTTTTTACTCTGGTTGTGGGGCTAGTAATAGTTTCATCATCAAAAATTTGTGGGGTTTATTTTTAAAATATTACTGGTTCAAGATTATCCCTATAATGATACTTTCTCTACTTTGCAATCCTCTGGAGGACTTGGGTGTTGGTAACAGCTAGTGCGCAGGGAGTGGTATACCCCATGGCCTACTCTCTCTGCACCCACAGCTGTTATTCATGGGTGCTCAGAGGAATGCATCTCACAGGTGATGGTCACTCATCACATGTGTCCCTTCAGGCAAAAAGACTTGTGTTAGGAGTCTCTGAGGTCTCTTCCAACATCTAATTTTCTAGGAGCTTCTGATTCTTCCTTCTCTCTGAGTCTCAGAGTTGAGCCATGAGACTTGCTCTATAAAGCACATCATTCTGCTTTGGGAGAAGGGATTTGGATGGGTGTAGGGAGCAGGACCTCAAGGACTGGGTCTGGGCAGCAGTTGTGACCACAGGCTCTGTCACCCCTTTCCCATCAAGGACAAATGAGTGCAGTTCAATGAAGATATATTGAATTTCCAGTCTTTGTCCTTCATTGTGCCAGGCATAGAGCTTCTGTGGTGACTAAGCATGTCCTTACCTTATAATCCAATGGAAATTGCATTATCCACTAGTAACAGTGACATTCAGAGCATGATACAAGTCCTGTTTGGAGGTTGTGGACCAAGCTATGGAGGAATCAAAGCAAGTTCCCAGAACAGATGCTAATCAATTTGGATTCTGATGGATGAGTAGGTTTCCTACAAATAGGCTGAAAGCACTAAGGGTTTGGAGACACCATGGGTGGAGACCCGAGGTGTGATCGCCTTGGTAGGTATGTGAAGTGAGCTGGGTGCAGTGGGCTGTGGCTACACTGTGCCTCCTGTTGGCCATGCTGAGAGCTCAGACTTCATCCCAAGGTGGGTAGAAGCTGTGGAAGAGACAGGCGAGGGAGGGGAACCTGGTCAAGAGTCCAGTGAACTTCACAAGGGAGACTCCACAGGACCAGGTGACAGTGGATGAAGGCAGGGTTAGGGCAGATTGAGGCAGAGGGGATTCTCAGCACAGAGATGAGACAAGTGGGAGGGACCGGGTATGTTTGGGAGCGGCTGGTGAGCTGGTGGACTCTAGACGTCCTCTCCTTCCCTCCTCCATAGGTGTTCAGCGACATTGGCGCTATCCAGAGCCTGAAACGCCTCGTTTTCTACTCCACTAATGGCAGTACGTTAGCGCTGGCGAAGCACGCACTGCGCCTGCTGGGCGAGGAGGTGCCCTGGAGCATTCTACCCTGCGCGGCCAGCTGGAAGGAGGCCAAGGTCCAAACGTGGCTGCAGCAGATCGGCTTCTCCCAGTACTGCGAGAGCTTCCAGGTAGAGCTTCGGGGTCGGGCTTCCCTGAGTGGGACCGAGCGCTTCCCTGAGAGCCTCAGGGTCACTGGGGTCCCCATGAGCACAAGCGACTGCATACTCTGTGGCCCTATAGGCTCCAGGCGCCACGGTGCCCTTTTGGGGATGGGGAGCCTGCACTCATCCTGGAAGTCCCTCATCTCTGATCTGGGTCCCATCCACCTCCTCCACTGCCACTTCCAGTTTCCTACCCTTGTATCTGTGCTTGAAATTTGGGGGTGGGGGAGGGGAGTCCTTCCTCACACCCGACCTCTCCCCCAGGAGCAGCAGGTAGATGGCGACCTTCTTCTGCGGCTCACAGAGGAGGAACTCCAAGCAGACCTGGGCATGAAATCTAGCATCACCCGCAAGAGGTAAGGGGATCTCCGAGCCAGCAGGACCCTACCAGGTCTAACTAACTGCCCGCACTGCCGCTAGCCAGTCCTGAGTCAGGATCTCAGCATCTTTTCCTCCTGTGGTGCAGGTTCTTTAGGGAGCTTACGGAACTCAAGACGTTCGCCAACTATGCTACGTGCGACCGCAGCAACCTGGCCGACTGGCTGGGCAGCCTGGACCCGCGCTTCCGACAGTACACCTATGGCCTGGTCAGCTGCGGCCTGGACCGCTCCCTGCTGCACCGCGTGTCAGAACAGCAGCTGCTGGAAGACTGTGGCATCCGCGTGGGCGTGCACCGCGCCCGCATCCTCTCTGCGGCCAGAGGTCAGCCCACACACCAGGGACCCCACCCCAGCCCAGGCCCTGTAGGGGCAAGGGGAGACACGGTGGAGCTCAGAGCCTCGCTTGGGAGTGATGGAGTACTGTGCTATGGCAGACTGGGCTGTGAGGATTTAAAGATGTAGCCCTCAAGAAGTTCACAGTCTGCGGCGGGTATCCAGGAAGGCTAGGTGGTTCTACTGAAAAGCATATCCAGGACTCTAGTAGGGGGTGGAGGCAGCACTTACTATCCTATTCACCCAGATCTAAACTTCAGAGTTTAGACCAAGTATTGAGGGGTGTATGCAGGGATGGGGTAGCAGGATGGGCAGCCCAGGCCAGGGCTCAGCTTGTGCCATAGTAGTAGGACAGTGCATGATGGCCCATTCATGGGGTAGTAGCCAGCTTACAAAGTATGGTTTCTGGAGGTGTTTTACAATGGCATCGAGGTAGAGCTCTAAAAACTCTATTTACAAACTTATTTTCACTAATTTTCTATTTAGGTAGTAATTATCATTAACACCAGGTACTATTGTATTAAATTTTTGTATACATTTATTTATTTATTTATTTTTATGTGGTGCTGAGGATTGAACCCCAGCCCCCTAATATTAAATTTTTAAGATATTACCTCATTAATTTCTACAACCATCCTATGCAGTGGGTGGTTAATATGTTTTAAATCAACTTTATACACCTTTTAAAGAATAGAAAGAGGGGATGGAGCTGTGGCTCAAGGGGTAGAGCGTTCACCTAACATGCGTGAAGCACTGGGTTCGATCCTCAGCACTACATAAAAATAAAATAAAGGTATTATGTCCACCTACATCTAAAAGTATATATTTTAAAAAAGAATAAAAAGAGTCCCTAAGAAAAGTAAGTTTTCAATTTGAAGAGTTTGGAAAATATACGCCTCTGTGATAGAGCATTTCAATCATAAGTGTTACTTCTAAAGATAATGAAACTAAGATTTAAAGCATTTAATTTCCCAAGGTTATAAAAGCCAAAAGAAGACAGAATTGGGATTTGAGCCCCTGTTTTTCTACTTCATAAACAGACAAATATCTGTGGGTGTTAATTCTGAATACTATAGGAAGAAGAATTCTTTTCATTGAACCCATTCATTCAGCAAATAGGTACTGAGCACCTTCATGGCACAAGGGACTGGGCCTTGGCTTCATTCTTTTGCTTCAACCAAACCAGGTCAGCTCTTATCATTTTCACTTTACAGCTCTCAACAAAATTCTAATATTTTATTGTTTTAAGAAAACAGAAAGGTCTAGGGCAAAAATAACTTTCAAAAAACAGTTTCTCTAGGGAATAAGGAGCCATGCACAGTTTTTTTTGTTGTTGTTGTTTGTTTGTTTTGTGTGTGTGTATAATTGTTATTGTTTTGTTTTGGTACTGGGGATTGAACTCAGAGGCACTCAACCACTGAGCCATATCCCCAGCCCTATTTTGTATTTATTTAGAGACAGGGTCTCACTGAGTTACTTAGTGCCTCACTAAATTGCTGAGGCTGACTTTGAACTTGTGATTTTCCTACCTCAGCCTCCCAAGTCGCTGGGAATATAGGCGTGTGCCACCATGCCCAGCTTGCACTGTTTTTAAATGGGGCAGTGACATGCTTAGGTTTGTGGTGACTGGAGATGTAGTTTAGTGAGAGAGTGTTTGCCTAATGTGTGAGGCCCTGGATTCTATCCCCATCACCTCAGAAAGAAAAAAAGAAAAGAAAAGAAAAGAAAAAAGAAAGAAGGATATTGTAAAAAAATGAATTAGATGGGACAATCCTAACTGGATTTTGGGAGTCCATTGAGGTGAATAGTGTCAAGGATCTGCACATAGAACCCTGAGGCTAGGTAGAAACCATAGAGCAGGGTGCCTGGTGCTGAGGCTAAACTGCGATATTCAAAAGGCTAGATGTATTAAACGCATTTTATTTATTTTTATGTATTTATTGGTACTGGCAATTGAACCCCAGGGTGTTTAACCTCTAAGCCACATCCACAGCCTTAAATACTTTCTTTCTTTCTTTTTCTTTTGTGTGTGTGTGTGTGTGTGTGTTTTGTACCAGAGATTGAACCCAGGGTGCTTAACCCTTGAGCCCTTTTTTATTTGTATTTAGAGACAGAGTCTTACTGAGTTGCTTAGCAATTCACTAAGTTGCTGAGGCTGGTTTTGAACTCTGATCCTCCTGCCTCAACCTCCAGAGCCACTGGGATTACAGGCATGCTCTACCACGCCCAGCTTAAATGCATTTTGACATGATATTTTCAACTTATCATGGGTTTTCAGGAAGTAGTAACCTCATTGTAAGTGGAGAAGCATCTGTATTTATTTATTTATTTATTTTAGTTTTTATTTTTTAGTTGTAGTTGGACACAATACCTTTATTTTTTAAAAATTTTATGTGGTGTTGAGGATTGAACCCAGGGCCTTGCACATGCTAGGCAAGTGCCCTATTGCTGAGCCACAACCCCAGCCCCAACATCTGTATTTGTTGAATAAATAAAATACCCAGGTTTCTGGTGGAAACTGGAATGAAGGGGCGAGGGGAGGACCTGGGCTGTATTGAGTTTGGAGTGCCTGTGGGCAGCTGGCTGTACAGGTCTGCAGTTCCAGAGAGAGGGCAAGGCTGGAAGTCCATGTCAATGAACCTTTTGAGAGGGACTCATCAATGGCCTTCCTTCCTGTAGGCCCCATATCTCCACCTCAGTCACCTTTTTTGAAGCAAGCTACCTTGTCCAGGCTGGGCTGAGAGGGCTGGGTAGACACAGGACCAAGTCTCCAAGGTATGATGGACTTCATGGTAAGTGGTGGGGAGGGACTGCCCTCACCATGCTTTCTCTTTTATTGGCCTCAGAAATGCTACACTCCCCACTGCCCTGTACTGGCTGCAAGCCCGGTGGGGACATCCCAGATGTCTTCATCAGCTACCGAAGAAACTCAGGCTCCCAGCTGGCCAGGTAAGGAGGGGTAGGCAGCAGGCATCCTGGGCCTTGGGGAGAGGCCAGGGTGGTGACACAGGGCCTCTCTGCAGTCTCCTGAAGGTGCACCTACAGCTGCATGGCTTCAGTGTCTTTATCGATGTGGAGAAGCTAGAAGCGGGCAAGTTTGAGGACAAGCTCATCCAGAGCGTCATGGGTGCCCGCAACTTTGTGCTGGTGTTGTCACCTGGGGCCCTGGACAAATGCATGCTGGACCATGACTGCAAGGACTGGGTGCACAAGGTAGGTGTTGACCTGTGCCTCTGCCAACCCAGTACTGGCCCCAGGCCCAGGGGACTGAGTTCCCCTTCTATCCCTTCTTTTCTACACACCCAGCAACACTTGGCCCCAGAACACCTCTCTGGCCCAGCTGGAAGTTGGGAGCCACAGCTCTGACTGGAATGCAGCTTTAGCAAACCACTTTAGATCTCTCTCTTTTTTTAACATTTATTTTTTAGTTGTAGGTGGACACAATACCTTTATTTTATTTTTATGTGGTGCTGAGGATTGAACCCAGTGCCCCACACATGCTAGGCAAGCAGTCTATCATTGAGTCACAACCCCAGCCCTCACTTAGGATCTTGAACCTCGGTTTTTTTCATCTACAAAAGGGGATAACTTACCCATGCTGTTCACCTTGTAGGATTATTGTGAGTGTCAGAGGGGGATGAAAATGCTTTGTAAAATAACCTCTGTGAGGCAGAAGAGAGTACAGTGACAGGCAGACAGGAATCATTGTTAAGAGCATAAAACTGGAAGTTTGGATCTTGGCTCTGGCCTTGGGCAAATTACTTAACTCCAAGGAACTTCATATTTATTACTGTAAAGTGGAGACAATAATAGTAGCAACTCCCTAGGATACTGTTACAAGGATTAAAAGAGCTAAACTGAAGTGCTTAGCAGAATGTCTGGCACATAGTGATTGCTCAATAATGACAGCTATTATTAGGCCGATTGTATCTGTATAATTCACCATTATATATTCAATGTATGACACATAATAGGAACTTAGAATATTTATAGAATAGCTGGTTGTAGAGGTGCACATCTATAATCCCAGCAATTTGGGAGGCTGAGGCAGGAGGATTGCAAGTTCCAGGTCAGCCTTGGCGACTTAATAAGGCCCTAAGCAACTTAGTGCGACCCTGTCTCAAAATAAAAAGAATGAAAAGTGCTGAACTTATGGCTCAGTAGTCAAGCACCCCTGGGTTCAATCTCTAGTATATATATAAAAAAGAAGAATACTTATAGAATGAATGGGTAGATGGAAACATAATCATTAATCAGTTAGTAAGAATTGAAGGTTTGTGCTAAGGGATGCAGTAGTTATCTAAGATGGAGTCTCCACCATGCGGCCAGCGCAATGGTTTCATTAATGAGGTTCTTGGCATAAAAGTTAGCTAGCAGAGATCCAAATAAAACACACAGACTCAGTTACCTTATTTCTAATGCCAGGTCCGAGACGGCTCCCCTCTCTGGTTCCTACCTCTAACCGCCCCGCAGGGCAGCAAGGATTACTCAGGGCTAGCAGGAGAAAGAGAGAATGAACACGCCAGGGAGTAGCCTTTTATTGGGGAACAAGAAATTCAGGGGAGAATTCCATCCAATGAAGGTTGAGTGGGGACTGCACTCCAAGGTCAGGGTCAGTGATTGGGCCCCCGGGGTCAGTGGTCAGTCACACCCCCACACGGATGGGTTTTCTCATCAGGAGAGGGTCAGGAAAGCTCCAACACAGCCAGAGCGCCTCAGACCCAAACCGGGAGTCACCCAGTCACGTGTCAGAATGGCTCCCCACAGGAGTCCTTGTGTTCAAGCAGTTCATGAGATAAGAATGTGCCATCCCTGAGTCAGGTGTGGTGGCTCACACATGTAGTCCCAGCCACTTTGGAGGCTGAGGCAGGAGGATCACTGAGGCAGGAAAAAGGCTGAGACCAGTCTGGGCAACATAGTGAGACCCCTGTCTCTTAATACACACACACACACACACACACACACACACACA